GTGCGCAAAGGCACGTGGTCTCAATTATTTATATATTTTTCCTCCACTATAGGTTTCTCACTACTTGAGTTAGTTTTCTCTTGGCGTGTTGGATTGATCCAACCAAGAAAGCATGGGCGTCTTTGGGCATTATTTGAGCAAGTCAATTATTTTTTATTTTTTATTTTTTATTACTATTTTTTTTTAAAGTTAACTAAAGGCTAACTGCCTAGAAACTATACAAGAAAGATGAGAACTTCCATTTTTGAGCTCGTCGATATTTAACATGCCAAATTGTTTATATTACTTGGACGTGATTACTTCCATTTATCGCTTTTCAATTTTTCTCTTTCCTTCTTCTCGATGTTTATTATGGAGGTAGTGTAGTTAAGTCATGGAGGTAATGTAGCTAAGTCCCCTCCCACTTGTACTTATTTGATTTTCAATAAAACAAGATGAGGGAATCCAAATCCCACGTCGAGTCAAGGTGGAAGCATCTAACCTTGATAGTGTTTCCACTTAAAAACAAAACTATATTTTGATAGAAACTTTCATTCCCGCACATACCTTTTACATGGTTTTTATTTCACTCACAAATATCATTGATTATTAATATAAAAAATATGTCAAGTTACGATATTGTACTACTATAACAAGTTCACACAATTCAAACACCTACATGTAACATGAAAAGTTAATTTTTTTTGGTTACAAAAAAAAAAAAAAAATATATTAACTTTCAAATATAATGAAGGAAAAAAGGTTGTAAATCTTGTAAGAAACTCAAGTCCTGGCACGAACAAGGGGTTAGTGAGGGATTGGAGAGTAAGGTGACATCATGTGAGGCGACAGGACAGCCACATCGTAGATTCTTGAAGAAAAGTTAAGCTTGAGAGTTTTTTCCGTCCATTATTCTTTACTAGTGCACCCGTTTCCTTCCTTTTGCCCACCAACAATCGAATTCTTTGAAGAGAATTTCCCAATGTCTCATCATCCATATTTGCAAAGCAAACCCTAAACCACCGGGCTCTACACAATGAAACGATGATCCTGGAGAGACAATGAGCTTTACGTCGTTGATTATTACTCTCCATAGTGCCATTTCACCTTCAAATGTAGGTTCATTGAGCAATGGGCGCAAATCCATCCAGAAGTAAAGGCCAGCATTGCTGTCTAAGCATTTTATTCCAACTTCTTCAAGTCCCCTGGTAAAGATCTTGTGCCTGTTTCCAAGCCTTTTCGAGCTTTCTGCTAAAAACATGTCAACGAATTCCTCGTCTGCCAACACTGATGCTATCAAATGTTGTGTTTGGGATGAGACTAATCCGGATACACTAACGAAATTCGGAGCACAGAAAATTGTGGCTGCATATATTTCATCGCACACCAGATGAATTTCCTTTTCATTTATGAAAGTTACTAGGCTTCTCAGTGTTTCCCTGTCCATAGTGGTTCCTAAAGGATTTCATGGGTTTGCTATGATGTTGCCTTTTCGGGCATTCTCGTATGCCTCCTTTAGTGCTTGTATCGTAATTTTGAAATTATTCTAGCTTTGCAGGCAACAGGAAGTAGTTTCACCCTAGTTCTCCAACTCAAGTCCCTATCAAATCTGTAACAACCAAATGTCAAATATATAAGCAAGATTGATTTTAACATGCAACTTGTATAATACGTATATTTAGACTGCGCTCTATATATATTGTACATGACCTGCAATATTTCTTTACCGATCAATATTGCCTTGATTTTAGTGCTCTAATTCCTTCAGATAAAAGTCACGATCGAATACGAGCAGAGTGGACATAGTTATGTCCCCTCGCCATATATTTTTACTAAGGTTAATTTCTTCATTTCATTAAACACTGTGACTTGGAATTGTTATGAGCCTAATAAATGCTATTGTGTGAATTCAATATGCGAATCGACCTCTGTATATATGGAGCCGTCACTAGTTTTGTATTACCATCATAAAATAGAGAAGTTACACAAGATAGTGTATGCAATTTTTTCTAATAAACTTCTTTTCATTATAGTGAATTATTATAGCGACGGAAGGTGATAGTCTCATATTGAAGAGAACCTATATAAACTTTATGTGTTAAGCTATTTATTTTCTTTTTGTGAATTTATTGCTAATTTCTGGTAGAATTAGGATTTCTAACCTGCAACACGGACTTGTGAGTGATTGGATTTTTAGTCTACGGTCACTTCATTGAATTTTGGAGAATTAGACAACAGTAGCCCTAGTAAAACATGTGTTTGAAAATTTTCTTAGTAGCCAATGTGACCTGTTCGGTTTTGATAATATTTTATGGTTCACCAGCTTAGGAGAATTCTGTCTGGAATTCATAACTTAGGTGGTAGGGTCCAGATAGAAAAAGAGAGTCCTATGTCTCAATTATAGCTCTCCTACTTGACCCAATTTGTAGATATACCTGTCGACTTCAACAACAACATTCCAGAAAGGACAAAAATGGGACTCGAGTAACAAAAAATGGCAGATCCACATTACAAATCTTTACATAAAATTTCTTTCTTCGACCTGGAAAGACCGACAATAGTCCGTTTGACTCTTTTAGGTTGTCTTAATATTTTTATTAAACATTATCTATTTATCTCCAATGCAGTGCAAAAAAAAAATAAAAAAATAAAAAAAAAATCGTAACATGATTTTGATTTCCAGTGAACCGTGTATATTACAAAGTAAATAGAAATCAATATTACAAAGTAAATAGAAATCAATATTACAGTGAACCGTGTATTTTTATGTACTTACGCTGGATAATAAGGTGAAGGGACCAAAAATGCATCCCCAGGATCAGCCAAACAAAACATTATCAGTTCATTTGCTCCGGTGGCTCCACCGGCCATCACTATGCGGTCGGGGTCAAACTCTACCACCTCTCACCTTTCCCATAAACTTCGCCACAGCCTGAAAGAAATCGAATGGAAGAATGCCTTAGTGGAAATATTCATGAATCCAGTAGAATGACAAAATTTTTTTTACGTAGACGAGTATAAATATATTAGCATTTTCTATACATTTCTGAATTCCTGCAAGCCATGGTGATCTTGAAAGCCTTAACTCCTTCACTAGTACAAATTGACGCTAGTGGATTTTTCTTAATTCATTCCTTAATCAAGTCGAAAGAAAACTGTAAATCACAATCAAATCAACAAGAAAGGAGATAAGTATATAACATAACCTCAACATGACTGAAATATTTTCTTCTCTGAAAGTAAGCCAACAAATATTTCTGCAACATTCAAATAAACCTGATTTCAGCAAGGCCCATTTGGATAATGATAGGTGCATTTTTGTGCACTTATTTAATGCACAAACATAACTAAATTACAAGCAAAATAATTAAATTGTGGCTTAAATTCGCTCAATTGTTGGATTGTAGGGTGTAATGATGGACTTGATGGAATTCACGAGAAAAAGTAGCACAAAGGACCAAAATGAATCAAAATGAAAGTTCAGGGGACCAAAGTGCAGTTATTTGAAAGTTGATCCGATGGACACATCAAGCAATTGATCGAGCTAAACACCAATTGGAGATCATAATGGAACATTTGAACAACTAGAAACACGAGAGAAGGTCAAGAAGTGGAGGAATGAAGTTTGAGGACCAACATGACATAACTTAAAAGTTTGTTCTACTATGCGGTCCCATAGTAGAAACTCCTATGCAGTCACGAATACCAAGGCAGGGAATTTAAAGCGTCAATTTTCATAAGCCCATGTGGTCGCATAAGTATATTCTAGGGGCCGATTCTGCCGTTTCCTATTCACGAAAAAATTCTTATGGAAACCTAATTTATACGCGATATAAATACCCAAATCCGCCAGAAATAAAGGAGAACGCATTGGGAGGCAAGAAACCACATATTGGAGAGGATTTTGAGCGCAAGTAACGAAGAATTACACAAGGATTTTGAAGATTTATCAAATATTCATAATCCGATGATGTTCTTTCTTCAAAATCTGATGTATTCTTATAGTTTATCAATGCTAGGCTAGATTTTTATGTACTAGGAGATCGATGTACCATGTGATTTGATCTTTAATTTTTTAGTTTTACAATTTGACATTAAAGACACGTTTTGATTGTTTTGAATGATTTATATGCAATTTTTGTTCCCGCAATTAAGGGCCCGTAATTGTGTGAATTTAGGTGGCTTATTCTTGCATTCAAGATAATTGGAATAGGTTCGACATAATATAAATCATCGTAGGGTCTGATAGGGGGATAGAAATATACCGCTATGCCCTACGTGAATTTTTAAGTGTTCACAAGACCGCATGCATTTTTATATATGCACTTCTCATAGAAATATAAACGGGTGGTATGTAAAAATAGGTTCAATACATCTTGAGAGAGAGTATTGGATAGAATAGGATGGCTGATTCATCAATAATTTAAGTGTGTTGTCACATTGTGAAACTGTGGTTAAGGTGATAATTGCATGAGAAATCGTGATCCTAGTGTTTTTAATTTCAATTGAATACAACCAATTCGCACTCTAACATATAATTTTCATTTTAATTCATTAAAATATCATTTTGCATACTTGAATTCATTCCAATCTTCAATTTTGCATAATTAGGGTTTTCATAAAATTAGGGGTTTCTTTCTAAAATTATGGTTCATTTAGGTAGATATTCATATTGAGTGATTTCGTTTCAGTTAAGGCTACACTAGATAAAATTGAACTATTCAATCTCTGCAGGACGATATTCTGACTAAAAAAAAAATTCACTTTATTACTTGTTAATGAACCGTACACTTGCAGTGATTTTAATTGAAAAAAATATTTCGTGAACAAGTTTTTGACGTCGTTGTCGGGAATTGAGTATTCGTTTAATTTTATCTAAATTGGCACTAATTCGGACATCCATATTTACATTTCCTATTATTTTTTTGTGTTTTATTTTAATTAATTTCATTTTGGTTTGTTCTAGTTATTATTTCATTTTAACATCTAAGCACTCCTATTAACTCTTCTTGCATATTTGCATGATAAGATCTGCTGAAGGAGAATTGACACCAGCTGATCCAGAAATCGAACGCACTTCCCATCGAAGGCAGGGAGAAAACAGAGAAGCACATCAACAAATGGCCAACGTGCAGAATAATCCAATTTTTTTGGCCAATGAAGAGGGGGCAGTAGATGAAGGAAATATGCTCGTGGGAGATTTCATGACCCCTCAGATAATTCAAAGCCAGTCAAGTATCGTATATCCATTGTTTGGACAGTCGAACTTCCAACTGAAGACTAATGTGATACAATTATTTCAAAACGGTCATCAATTCTATGGAAGGATTGAAGAGAATCCACACATGCATGTTTCTCGTTTTCTGGAAATGTGCCAACACTTCAGATATCAAGGAATTTCAGACGATGCAATAAGATTAAGCTTGTTCCCACATACACTGCACGACAAGGCAATTGAATGGCTGGATTCACAACCAATCGCAAGCATCACCACATGGAATGATCTAGGCCAAAAATTCTGCACTAAGTTCTTCCCACCAGCTAAGATCACGAAGCTCAAGCACGACATCTCTGTTTTTTGCCAAGGTGACTCGAAAAATTTCGATGAAGCTTGGAATCGGTTCAAGAATATGCTGCGAAAGTGTCCACACCATGGGATTAGCAAGGGAATTCAAGTCCAATACTTTTATGCGGGATTACTTCCAACTTTTAAAAGCTTGGTTGACTCATTATCGAACGGATCGTTGTCCAAAAAGACAATTGATGAGGCACTAAAACTTTTCGAGACCATGGCAACCACTTCAGCTATGTGGACATCGGAACGAGCATTTCAAAAGAAGACACCGAGGGTTTATGAAGTGGACGTCTATTCCGCCTTGTCAACAAAAATTGACTCATTATTTCATAAGGTGGAAAACATGACACAATCAGCTACCGCAGCACAGTCGAAGAAGGCCAGTTGTGAAGAATGTGGAGCTGAGCATGTAACAGCAGAATGTCCAATCTTTGTACAAGAAGTAGAGCAAGTAGATTATGCTCAATGGGGACAGCGACAACAAAATAACACATATGGGAAAACATTTAATCCGAGTTGGAAGAAGCATCCAAACTTCTCTTAGAGTAATTAGAATCAAAACAAGCCAAAGGACAATTCCAGAAGCAAGAGAAGAAACCTTAGTTGGAAGAAATGATAGGAAAATTCATGGAGAAGATTGAAGCTACACTTCAGAACCAAAATGTAGTTATCAAAAATTTGGAAAACTCAAGTGGGACAATTAGCCCATAGCATTGACTGGCATAGCATCGAGAAACTTGCCAAGTAACATGGAAATAAACCCAAAGGAGCATGCTAAGGCCAACTCGAAGTGGAAAGCAGCTACCAGAAATCCATGTAAAAAGGCCAGGTGAAAATCAAGAAATAGAATTCCCAACTATAGAAGAACCTATAGAGCATGATGAACAGATGGAGGAATCTATCCCAGCTGAAAAACCGGACAAAACATAGAGTAAAGAAACCGTTAACTCTCACGAACCTCCCATACCTTTTCCACAGAGGCTGAAAAAACAGAAGTTTTTGAGTAGCAATACAAGAAATTTCTTGAAGTTTTTAAGAAACTCCACATCAGCATCCCACTCGCTGATGCATTATTCTAGATGCCTAGCTACGTAAAGTTCCCAAAGGATATATTATCAAATAAACGCAAGCTAGGGAATCACGAAATGGTAATGCTAACAGAGGAATGTAGTGCCAGAATTCAAAAAAAGCTACCACCAGAATTGAAAGATCTAGGGAGTTTTACTGTTTCTTGCACTATTGGTGAAGTTCATTTTGATAAAGCTTTGTGTGATCTTGGTGCAAGTATTAATTTAACGCCTCTATTGATTTTGAGGAAACTTGTCTTGGGAGAAGCAAAGGTGACTACTGTAATACTGCAGCTAGCTGACAGATCGTTAACACATCCCAGGAGAATAATTGAAGATGTGCTTGTCCAGGTGGAAAAATTCAATTTTCCTACGGATTTCCTAATCTTGGACATGGTAGAAGACAAAGTTATTCCATTGATACTGGGCAGACCATTTTTGGCAATAGGAAGAGCCTTGATCGACGTTCAGCACAAGCAACTGATATTGAGATTGGGAGAAGAGCAGATCTCGTTTAATATTTTCAAGGCAATGAAACTACCTACAGAGACAGGCAGCTGTTTCAAATCGACGTGATTGACATGGTGATCCAAGACTCCTTTTTACTACACAACTCATTAGATGCATATGAAGCTTGCATTGCACATTCGTAGTCAACGCAATCTGATTCAATGGAGATGGAAACTTGTGCAAGGTTTCTAGATACCAACCCACCTTATACACACAAAAGGCATTTTGAGGAGCTTGGAAAGGGACCTACAAAACCACTACCATCCATTCAGGAGCCACCGAAACTAGAACTCAAGCAGTTACCACCACACCTCAGATATGCTTACTTGGGAAAATCCTGTACACTCCCTGTGATCATTTCAAACATAGTCAGCGAAGTGGAAGAAGAGAAACTGATTAGGGTGCTCAAGGAGAACTAGACAGTAATTGGATACACCATAGCAGATATCAAAGGGATCAGCCCCTCACTGTGCATGCATAAGATTCTCATGGAAGAGAATTTTTTGCCAACCATAGAAAGTCAGCGAAGGTTGAACCCAAATATGAAAGAAGTGGTGAGAACAGAGGTACTCAAACTTCTTGATGCTGGAATCATATATCTGATATCAGATAGTGCATAGACTAGCCCAGTTCAAGTGGTGCCAAAGAAAGGAGGAATAACGGTAGTACCCAATGAGAAGAATGAGTTGATACCAACCAGAACAGTCACAGGATAGAGGGTTTGCATTGATTACCGCAAACTCAATGCAGCAACAAGGAAAGATCACTTTTTCCTTCTGTTTATAGACCAAATGCTCCAGGCCACTCACATTACTGCTTCCTCGACGGGTATTCGGGTTACAATCAGATACCAATAGCACTAGACGATCATGAGAAAACTACATTCACATGCCCTTATGGTACTTTTGCATACCACAGGATGCCTTTCGACCTTTGCAACGCCCCTGCCACTTTTCAACGTTGTATGATGGCAATTTTCTCAGACATGATAGAGAAATTTATTGAGATATTTATAGATGACTTCTTGATCTTCGAGTCTTCGTTTGACGAGTGTTTGGAACACCTGAATCTGGTATTACAAAGATGCAGGGAAACTAATTTAGTATTAAACTGGAAAAAATGTCACTTCATGGCGCAAGAGGGGAATGTACTTGGGCATCGGGTCACGACAAAAGGGATTGAGGTGGACAAAGCAAAGATTCAAATTATTGAAAAGTTACCAACACCAACATAAGTTAAAGGGGTTCACATCTGCTTGGGACATGCTGAATTCTACAGGAGATTCATAAAAGATTTTTCAAAAATCACCAAGCCCCTCTGCAACCTATTAATGAAGGACATGTCTTTCGAATTTAATGGGGAATGTCTGAAAGCCCTCAACACTTTGAAGGAGAAACTCACGTCAGCGCCAGTAATTGTAGCACCTGATTGGGAGTTGCCTTTCAAGTTAATGTGCGATGCTAGTGATCATGCCATAGGTGCAGTATTGGGGCAGCCGAAGAACAAGATTTTCCATGTAATATATTATGCAAACCGAACATTGAATGATGCCCAAATCAACTACACAACCACTGAGAAGGAGCTCTTGGAGGTGGTCTATGTCTTTGACAAATTCAGATCATATCTCGTGGGGTCTAAAGTCATAGTCTACAAAGATCACGCTGCGTTGAAGTATCTAATGACAAAGAAGGATGGCAGGCCGAGGTTAATCCATTGGGTGTTACTGTTGCAAGAATTCGACATTGAAATTAGGGACAAGAAAGGCAGTAAAAACCTGGTAGCAGATCACCTATCGAGATTAGAACAAGAAGAGCCAGAAACGTCAGTGAAAATCAATGAGATTTTTCCAGATGAGCAGATATTCAGTGCAGAAGAAGCCCCATGGTATGCAGACATCATCAATTATTTGGCTAGGTCAATCCCACCGCCAAATTACTTGACCGGAAGAAGAAGTTCTTTGCCGAGATGAAATATTATTTTTGGGAAGATCTTATTCTTTATAGACGAGGGGCTGATCAGATTGTGAGAAGGTATATACCTGAAGATGAAGTACTTGAAATTCTTGAGCATTGTCATTCATCTGTTTATGCGGGACATATGGGGGCTTCAAAGACTGCACCTAAGATTTTACAGTCAGGGTTCTATTAACCTACATTGTTCAGAGACACCTTTGAATATGTTAAGAGGTGTGATAGATTTCAACGCACTAGGAACATCTCAACAAGGAATGAGATGCCACTGAACAACATATTGGAAGTAGAGATATTTGACGTCTGAGGAATCGATTTTATGGGACCGTTTCCTAGTAGCAGTTGATTATGTGTCAAAATGGGTGGAGGCAGTTGCATTACCAACGGATGACGCTAAAATGGTAATTGGGTTCTTGAAAAAATATATCTTCACCAGATATAGCACATCGCGGGCAATAATCAGTGATAGGGGTAAACATTTTTGCAATCGCCAATTTGAGCAATTATTGAGTAAATATGGGGTTAAAAATCGAGTTACAACCCCATATCATCCACAAACCTGCGGGCAAGTCGAAGTGTCCAATCGGCAACTGAAGAGAATATTAGAGGTAACAGTAAATTCATCCCGAAAAGACTTGTTAAAAAAGTTGGACTTTTGGACATACAGGATAGCATTCAAGACACCGATAGGCATGTCTCCATTCTGCCTAGTCTTTGGAAAAGCATGCCACCTTCCATTAGAAATAAAACATCGGACATACTGGGCTATGAAACAATTGAACATGGATTTGAAAACCGCCGGTGAAAAGCGTTTATTGCAACTCAATGAGTTAGATGAATTAAGAATGGAAGCATATAAAAACTCGAAGCTTATCAAAGAACGCACCAAAAGTTGGCATGATCTACACATTCAGAGATAAGATTTTGAGGTAGGGCAAAAAGTCCTATTATATAACTCGAGACTCAAGCTTTTCCCTGGAAAATTGAGATCACGGTGGTCGGGCCCCTACACTATCATTAAAGTTCTGCCATATGGAGCTATACAGGTCAGCCATGGAATAAAAGAAACATTCACAGTTAATGGGCAAAGGCTGAAACACTATTGGGGCGGGGATTTCTCAAAACAAAAGTCCACCGTCCAACTCGGAACACCAAATTGAAGCACAATTGGAAAAGTCGAGTTATCAACTATAAACTAGCGCTGGATAGGAGGCAACCCACTATATCCTTTGATTTGTTTTATCTTTGTTTGCATTAGCTTAGGAAATTTTAATTTCACGTTTGCATTTTTTGTTAAGCCATCGAACATCCTTGCATGTCAATAGAGTCTAAGCACCGTTCACACAAGTCCTTAGGCATTAAGCACAAGTTAAAATAGAATGAAGTTGTTTTTGGGTGATTGGGAGTGTAATTCACGCATTTCAAGACAAAATTTCGTTTTAAAAAATCCAAAGGGCAATGTGTTATTGAGAGTTCAAGGTGATTTTTAGCACTACTTAGAACCCACACACACACCAAGAAGCTTAAAAGTCTGACTTTGAAAAGTTTGGGATGTTGAACGATCGGGTCACGATGTTGATTGAAAACCAAATTTGGTCGAGAACATAGTCTCGGGAGAAAATCAAATTTTTTAATTTTACTTTATTTTGTTTTGTCTTATTCCATTGTATTTTATTAATATAAAAAAAATAGTGTTTATGCGATCGCATAAACATAATGTCTATGAGGTCGCATAGACAGCAATCGAAAATAATTGGGGGACCAAATTAATCACTATGTGGCCGTAACTTTGCGTCCGCATAGTGTTGAATCGGTCATGGATTTACACCATGACAGGTTTACTTTTACTCACTTCCCTCTCATCCCCCTTCAATTATCTCTTGCACCCATACACACACGCGTACCCACATCGCTCGCGAACCCTCAACCCATGAGATCAACACAAAAAACACCAATTTTTGCTCCGTCGCACATTGAAGTAAGTAAAGACCTCAAATCCTAGAATTCTACCAAAGGTTCCAAGGTAAGCACCCTACACACTACTTAACAATTTCGAAGTTGAGGATTTGGGTTGTCTTATTTTTTAGTAATTGACAGGGATTGCGTGTTAGGTTTGTGATTAATATGTGAATGTGGAGCCAATTGACAAAGCATCAATAGCCAAAACAGGAAAAATTTCATAGTGCACACAATATGTTCGATAAAATGTCCAAGTTAAAATTCTATTGTATTTTTGTGCATCTAACGTTGCATGTGATTGATGATTGAATGTATTACCTTTTTGTGATGAATTACCACATAATTTGAATTAGAAAACACCTACACCCAACATCAACATACATGCACATGGCTAGGTCACGGCACTCTACGTCCCCTACTTTACACCATAATTTGACACACCAAACAAAATCCAATTGATTTGAAAATTGAGTATGTGATAGACCTCATTGAATACTTTCCTATGCCAGGAGATTGCTCGAAAAAAATTTGATATTTCTCGATGATGCCCTAGGTTGAAAGTACGCACTTGATCATGGATTAAATTTTCATCAATGTGCATATTTGGACCAAATTTTGCTAGTTTTTCCTATTTGCGCATTATTTCTACTATCTTGAATATCATGTTTTGAATATTGTACACCAATGTGTTATATATGCATGTTGAAGCAAGTTTGGGGGATTTGTCAAATACATGCCTTACTGATCTCATTCCATTTATCATTTTTCAACAAGAAGTTTAATGAATGCTATTTTGCAACTTTGCGGGATGCCTCCAAAACGAACCTCGAAAGGGAAAGAAAAAGTTGGTTCATCTTCCAGGACAGCCCGTACTCGAGTTCTTGAAGGCGGGATACAAAGATTTTTAAATTCTGAGACAGCAGCCCGTTATGAAAATATTGTGAGTCAGTGGATAGTAACACCAGAGTGGGCAGTTAAATTAGAGGATTTTCTAGATTTTGAGTTGATCACTTTGGTGGATAACTGTGGGTGGGCAAAGGTAACAGAGCTACCACATCGGATCTATGAATTATTGGTGGGAGAATTCTACGCAAATTTCAATGCAGAAATCGACACACCAGGGTCTGACCACTTGCACCATGGGTCGAGGAACAGTGGATTATGTTATTGTCAGAGGTTATTCGTGACTACTATCAGTTCACGTGGGACAACATAACCCCCATCCCGGGTGATTTCATTTGGAATGAAGTGGCAAAGATCCTATTGGGGTGATAAAATGCATGGCCACTCCCCACTACTGCATGGCACCAGATTGAGCTAACACCGTCTATAGCTATCTTGTGGCTGTTTATGTGCCATAACATTGAAACGACATCGCATAGGATCACATTTACAGATCCCACAGCCGGGTTCATCTATTACTTGATGCGAGGAAATAAGGTCGATCTCGCCTCTCTCTGCTATAATTAGATCCATTATGTGATACTCTGGGAGACAGACACGGTTCAATGATTTTCCCACCTCATCTCCGGAATATGCGTGGATGCTGGTATCAATAACACACCAGGGGAGGCACATGTAAAACCCAACCCCCTCTAAAGCGCAGTACATTGGAAGCTCAAGATAGAGCTAGGATAAAGTACAGGAAAAAGCAAGAATACGAGCGCCGCAGGCAGCAGGAAGAGCAGGGTCAGGTGCCTACAGATCAAGAAATGCCACAAGCTCCACCACCACAGATTGAGGTGGATACACAATTTTGGCGTCAGATATTCGCCACCACCATGAGAACCAGCCACGACATATAGGGTCTCCAGCAGGCTATGGGGGCTTTGAAGACTAACATACAGACAGCCCAACGTGACATCCGCATCGCCACTGGTATGGCACGAGTCGCTCACCTAGATTCAGAGGTAGCCATGAGGGAGATGGAAACTATGAACGGTCGACTGAGTATGTATGTGGGCCGGGTGGATGGCATCCAATTGCGAGTGAATTAGACTTGGGAACGTCTGGGCCGAATGGAGACACGTGTTGGCAAAATCCAATAGGAGATGGCGCAGTAGTCAGCAATGATGAGAGAGATTTTAGCGCGCCTACCTCCACCTCCAGATGATGGTACAACAGGAAACATTTTCCCACCACCACCTCCATATTAATCAGGGGAGTTTATTTCACTCATTAGCTAACTCTAATTTGCAATTGTCTTCAAAATATGTCATTTGAAACCTTTATTTTTCACATTGAGGGCAATGTAATATATAAGTTTGGGGGGTGGTAGCATATTTTGAACGAGACCCTTTTGCTTTTGAAAACACAATTATCGACATGGAATCTAAATTTTCAATTCTGTGACACTGGTTGAACATTGTGTGCTTGACGAGTGATTATTGCATTAATATACTATATTTGGTTCATTGCATGCCTGCGTGGGTTTGATAGTCTTGCCGGCAATGATGTGATTATTGAAATAGGTATGTGTTAGGAACTGTGAATATAGTGCTGAATTTAATTAACTGATACTTGTTGGGGGTAGTACTTGACATTCCATATGCATGTCACTCATACCATATATGTCAGGTAAGTGATTGGGTTTGAATAAAGCAGGAGAAATCAGAAAACCCTGACTAGATTTAGCCATAATGTAGATCCATAAACCAAAATGCTTTAATGCATAGTTTGGAGAAGGTTTAACAATTATAGGGGAATATTGAGATAAGTTGGGGCTCCGTGAATGAATTACACTATGTGGATTGCCTAGACAAATGAGATGAAGACTGGGATAAAGTCTTAATTTGGGGGTTGATTTCAAAGACCAAATGTCTAGAAAAATAAAGGGACATAAATCTAGGTTAAGAAAATTTGATACCTTTCCAAACCTTTATGACTCGAGCAAGTAAGCCTTTAAGGATATCTCGAAATCTGGTGCCCTAAAGCCAACTGATTTGTGAGACACCGACCCAAAGCTCGTTATAGGGGTCATATAAAAATCAAGAGGGAAAGATGTCAGTAAAAAGTCATCTGATCGAGCCTTTATAACTTGAGTAAATAAGCCTGTAAGGGTTTGACTCAGATTTTGTTGGAAACATAGACAATAGGAAGTCTACAATTGCTTATTTCCATGTGATAAATAACACATGCATTAGCTGGAAAACTCAACTTTGTAACTAGTTGCATTATCTTCAACTGAGGCTAAATATATAGTTGCAGCTAAAGCAGTGAAAAAAGGTCTATGGCTAAAAGGCATATTAAAAGAATTAGGACTTATGGAAAGTTTGGTAGAGCTATGTTCAGACAATCAAAGTGTCATTTTCTTAAGTAAAAATCCAATTTTTCATGATAGATCTAAGCATATACATATTAAATTTCATTTTATTAGAGATATAATTGAAAAAGGTAATATTAAGTGGATCAAAATTTCCACTGATGTTGATGCATGTACAAAGGTAATACCATTTAGTAAATTCATTAATTCTTTGAGATTATTGAATCTTGGAAGTTTGTTAATTTCTTCTTTTCTTTATGAACAAGTAATAAGAGCAAATAAAGTTAGTTATTTCTATTTAAGTCCACTTAGCTATGGTCTCAAATTACAGTAAGCCGGAGATTGTAAAGAATTGGATTTGCTGGAATTCAAATCCCAAAGATGGTTGCTGACATACTAACCATTTCTATTGTTTGACCTAATTGCCCAGTCTAACAAAGTGAAGTTCCAGATTTGAATTTGTAACTTCAACTGAATGAATGACTGAAGCTTGGAGGACTTATGACTAGTGGTGGGCAAAAACCGACTGAAATCGCTCAAATGGGCTGGATTTGATTTATTATTTGGCATTTCTCTGTTGGGTCGGGTTGGGTTAAGGGTTATGGTATAAACCTAAACCAAACAAATATAAACCTAAACCAAACCCGACCAACCCAACTCGTATAGAAAATTAAAATATAAAAAAGTCTTGAAGGTTGA